AGCCCATGCACCTCCAGAAAAGTAAAAAAAAGAAAAAAACTAGATTGTTATAAGCTAAAACTAAAGGCCAACTTAAAGTATAATATGAAAGATTCCACAAGACAATGTCATTTTGAAAAAAAGAGAAAGACAAAGTTACATTCCCTTCACCTGTCTCAGTCTAATTCCTTTTACTTAAATTCAAAAAGAAAAAATCCTGGGAAGCCCCGTACTACTCCATAACCCAAATAGAAATGCTCCCACTGAGTGACCTGCTTTGTATGTGACTTGGTTCCACTTGATAATATTCTAATCACTCCTTTTCCCTCCAGGTCTGAGTTCACTGTCTCTGAATTTCAAAGCATTACCCAGCAGATGGAATTAACCAAATCCCTGGGAACAGTAGCAGAGGACACCTTTGTTTTTACTTGAAAACTTCATGAATGATGAATAATAATATTCTATTGTGCAGAAGTACTGTAAGCTTTATTTTAAATTTTAAAAACTTTATTTTAATTGGCACATAGAGACGTAAAAATTGTGCACGTGAGAGGCTATGTGATGTATAGATACATGTATCCATTACGTAGTGTTGTGAACCAATTTAAGCATATCTACTGCCCTACCCATTTAGTTTTTTTTTCTTTCTTTTCCAGTACCAGGAATTGAACTCAGGACCTTGCACTTGCTAAGCAGGCACAACACCACTGAGCTATACTCCTGGCCCACCAGTTTTTTTAATGAAGCCATTCAAAATCCTTTTTTCTAGCTTTTGAACACAGATCATCATTACTAAATATAATCCCCTTCACGCACAAGAGCACACCAAAACTTGTTACTCCTAACTATAACTCACAACCTATTAATCATCACCTTCAACTTTTTTTCTTTTACCAGGTTTGATTTGTACTATGTCAGAATGGAAGACCAGTTTTTAAATAACCAGCACAATAACACCTAAAAGCCATTTCCAAATGTGGCTCGATCTGCCTTTGTACTCAAGAAAATATCCCCTATTCCCAGTCCAATAACAGAATGGGAAAGATGCATGAGCTAAAGACAGAGATCATAGCGATGTCACTGTCAGAACAGAGTCGCGCGTCAAGGGTTCAAAGCCCAACTGTTCAGTGAAGGCTCTTCGCTGGTTTCCTCACCTGTGAGAGAACGATGCTATTACACAGTGGGATCGTTAGGATGAGAAACCATATGCAGATCAGCCCACATCAGAAAGGAAAGCAAATTTCTCTAAGCAGACAAAACTGATTTAAAGGAATTGATGAACCAGGTGACAAAGATACAGTAAGGCCTCGGTTCGCCAAGGCCTGTCCACAGACAATTCAGTTCGTAAACTGAAGTTTCCATTCATGAAGTCCCACATCAGGTGACAAACACGACCACAGCCAACTGCCCACAGCCACTCTGCCACGTGGTTCCAGCTTCCGCTAGGGGAGATCATGGTCTCAGGCAGACCTGTGCACACTTGCTGGGAAGCCTTTTCGAGTGCTTTTCAGCACACACAGTACCATATGGTATTTTTCAGCCCAGCACGGCTCCAAAGAAAGTGCAGAGCAAGCAGGGTGGAAAAAGAAAGCACAGAGCAGTAATGAAGGTGATAAGGAACCGTAATGAGTTATGGTCAGCTTTATCTCTCTTCATACTATACTGTACTGTACTTTGTTTCATATTTTTGTGGTTAAAAATGTGGTTCAGAACAGATCCACTTTATTTACATTGAACCTTAGGGGGAAATTTCATTTGCTCGTGATGAATTCCGGTTCACTACCAGAATGGTGGAATGAATTAAATTGGTGAACTGAGATACCACTGTACTACGAAAATGACGCAGGAGTCAATAAGAAACCCTTCCGGCCCCTAAACTGGGGGCGATAAAGAAGAGAGATGAGTTTTCCAGAACCAGAATCGCTGGCAAGAGCTGGCACCACAGATCTAGCCAAATGAGTCTGCAGAGAGGCAGAGACTTAAAAATACCCTACATTCTCCCTCCTTCAGCGTCCTATTAGCAGCTCTTATTGGCAAAACCCACCCTGAATCAGGGCCCCTTGGTGTTGGAAACACACGTTAAGCACCTGTCAGGCACGTCAGGAACACACCTGAGGCATTTCCTCAGCTCCTTGCGTCTCTCTGATTGGTAGGCACTCTCTTCAACGAAGTTGTTCCTGCAATAGTCACCTGCAGGTAAGCCCAGGTGATTCTTCTTCGTAGCTGGTGTTTAGAATGGATGCCTCTACTCTCCACACTGCCTTCAGGCTGGTGGGGACTTTTCACGGTCCTGGGACCGCACCTCACTGTAAAGTGTCAGTAGCGCTTGAGTTTCACCTCAGGCTTTGCTGGCTTGAGACCCTGGGAAACGGAGCCCGGAAGAGTTGGAATAACCGGGCTACGGAAGCACTAGGGGTGGATCTGATCACAAAGAGCCCAGCCACATGTACCATCCCAGGATCCACTCCCACCCTCGCGTCCGTTTGTAAATCTTCCTTAACAACTTCCTGTTTCCACCTAAGCACCTAGGTGCTTCCCCGACCTCCTTCTACGTTCACGTGTTGGAGGGTTCCACGCATATATTTTGATCATATCCATCCGAAAAAACAAGGGAAAGAGAAGAAAGAAAGATAACTTCTTATATTCTTAGAAGACATGTAAACATAAAAGAGAGAAGTCCTTAAAATCCATCCAGAAAAACCCAAACTAATAGATAATGTGAAATAGAAAGACAAGGTCCAAAGGGGAAGGGGAAGTGGGAGGGGCTAGGGAAAAAAGGGAATGGAATTAATATAAGAAAATGAAAAACGGAAACAAAGTCTTTGTAAATAGGGAGAGGTGGCGGGTTTGAAGGGAGGGCAGGGGATTGGGGAAAACATAAGAACCAAGATACGTCATGTAAAGGTACAAATTTCCAATGATGAATGTCATTACATTGTATACCTAAAATGTACCAATAAACTTAATGAAAAATAAATAAATAAAATAAAAGTTTTTTTAAAAACCCTATTGGAAATAAGTAAAATTAGCAAGGTGAGAGGACATGAGGTAAGTTTATTTAAAAAATAATTTGATTTCTATAAACTAGTAATACATTATTTAGAAAAAAAGTTTAAATATCATTGACAGTAACACCAAAGAACTCATAAATTTAACAAAATATATGTAAGATTTATATGCCAACATGTAACATACTGTTGAGAGAAATTAAAAAGACCTAACTAAATGGAGAGATAAATCATGATCATGAATTCTAACAATAACTCTGATATTATTATTAAAATATCTGTTCTCCCAACTTAATCTACAGAGTCAATCCCATCCTTTTTTAAGAAATTTTGATCAAATGTAATAACCTGGAATATCCAATATATTTTTGCAAAGAAATTAATTTGGAGAATTAACACTCTTCATTCCAACATTCTTCAATTGTAGTTGAGACATTATGGTGTTATCACAAGAATGGATTATTTAGACTTCTGAGACCAAATACAGAATCTAGAAATCAACCACACTGATGCATTCAATTAATTTCTACAAAGACAGCAAAGTAATTCAGTGTTAAAATAGAAAGGACTTTCAACAAATAGTGCGAAAAAACAAATACCCAAATAGAATAATTGTGAACCTCAACCATTTTCTCACACATGAATATAATCCAAACATGTAAATTAAAACTGCCAGTCTTCAAAAGGCAATCACAGGACAAGATCTCTGCAATCTTGATATAGCAAAGATTCTTGGATGAGACATAAAAAGCATGAAAAAATGATAAAGTAGACCTCCATAAAAGTTGAAAAGCTCCATTTCATTAAAAAGTGAAGAGCCATGATGCAGACTAGGAAAATAACATTTACAGTACATACATTTACCAAAGGGTTTGTATCCAAACTACATAAAGAACTCTTACCGCTCCATAACTAGGAGACAAAGCCAATTTTTAAAAAGTGTGCAAAAGACAGATATTTTACAAAAGAAAATATACAAATAACCATAAACATATGAAATGGTGCTCATATCATTACTCTGTAGGCAAACACAGTTAAAAATCTACAGAGAGACTTGTGCGCAAATATATACAATGACTTTACTTATAATAACCAAAAAGTGGAAGGCTCTGAAATATTCATAGATAAATGAATTTTCTAAGCTGTGGTACATCTATAAGTAGAATACTATTGTGTAACAAAAGACACGAATTATTGATATATGAAAAGGCACAGATTAATTTCAAAAACCACACTCAGCAAAAAGCCAGATACAAAAGAGCCCAAGAAGGGTGAAATGGAGGAATGGTGAAAACCGAAGGACAGAGAAGAAAGTGGGTCACTGCTTGGCCAGCACGTGGGCGGTGAGAGGCTAGAGGGAACTTCCAGGGGTGATGGAAATGCCCGGGTCTCATTTGGATTGTGTACAAGAAGTGTATATGTTTGGTAAAACTTACGTTCCTTGGGACTTCAAGATGATACGTTTTATTATATACAGAGTAGAACTCGAAAACAGATTATGTTTAAAGTGTCAAAGTCGAGAAAAACAAGGCCTAACGATCTGTTCCAGACTAGAGAACACTACAGGACATCACAACTGAACACACTGGCTTGAAGGAAACAGACCTGTGCGTGACATTATGGGGACAACAGAACACAGAGTACAAGTTGGGTGGACACTAAATTTCCAGATTCTGATCATTGTGGCAAAACATAAGCAACTGATAATTAGGGATAAAGGTTCTATGAGAGTTCCTTGTGAATCAATCTTGCCACTATTCAGTAAGTTTGCAATTATATTTTTATGGCATCATAAAAGTTTTTAAAGATAAGTTAAGCTTCTAGGTGAATAAAGAAACACATATAACTATATTCTAATGGTCTCTGTTTTTCTGTTTTGTTTTGGGGTACTATGGAACAAAACTAGGGCCTTTACATTGAGCTATATCACAAGCCCTTTATGTTTTTATTTTGAGACAGGAACTCACTAAGTTGCCTAGCATGGGCTCAAACTTAGGATCCTCCTGCCTCAGCCTCCTAGAGTGCTGGGATGACAGGCATTTGCCATTGCCTGCTTTTCTATTTCTTGTTTATGGTATCTGGATGAAAAGATACTGAAATGATTTCCCCTGTGGATAAGGAAAAGGTGCAGGCTGTTTCTCAGGGTTCTTCAATTGTTCCTGTAGGTGGTTCAGGAACAGAAAGAGAAAGTAATTCTCAAGGTGATTCCCAAAGGCAACTCCTCTTCTCCAGGAAGAAAAATGGCTTCTGATCGCTAAACCACATTCTTAAGGGACGTTTTCTTTCTTTTCAAACTCAGCTCTGTTCCTTTGCTTTGTTTCCTGGAGTCAAACATATTTATTTGTAAGTAATTACAGATTACAGGAAATAAATGAAAATGACAAAATTCTATGTTCACCTTTCCTCCTTACCGCACAGTGACACAGGGAAAGTATCGTTCATTCTCTTTTCACAGATACAACTGTAGGTCTTAATGCAGTCAATATTTGATATTCTTGTTGCACTTAAAAATGCACATTTTCCTTCCCGAGAAGACGGAAGTTTCACAGTACTGTAGAACAGAAAACATAAGGGCAACTGTATAATTCTGAAGCTTACAGGGACATGAGTAATGATTTTTTATTCTATCACTTAAATACAGAGTATGTAAATATTAACCATAAATTTATTACCACTAAAGAATTTCTCCCACTTTTAGCCCATTAATAGAGTCTTGTCCTCTTGATCACACCTAAAATCCACATTTTATTACAAACTGGCAATTTTTGGTCAGCAGACAAAAATAATTTGCAATATTGTCATATGATTATGATACACCAAGCCTGCTTTGGTGGTTTACTTCTAAAAATAAGATATTTAAAATATTTAGATATAAAATATTTAAACATAAATATAAAATATTTAAAAATAAGACATTTACACATGCCTGTAATCCCAGCACTCAAAAGGCTGAGTCAGGAGGATCTCTGTGAGTTCAGTGTAGCCTGGGCTACATAGTGAATTCCAGGTCAGTCTCAACTACATAGTGAGACCCTGTCTCAAAAAAACCAAAAAAATAAAAATAAGACATTTAAAGAAAAGAAACAAAATTTTGCAACATAGATAACCAGGTCTCCTATTCCTGTATTTTAAGAAGAAAAGGAGAATTAGAGCATAACCTGAGAGGAAGTTTCTTTATTGATGTTTTTGTTCGTTTTGTTTCTGTGTCTCCCCCTGCACAGCTAACAGGTACATATTTGTTAAAAGAAGTGACTATGAATAAAGGTTTCAGCCAAATGGTGTTTCAAGTGTCAGAACCTTCTTTGTATTGAATGCAGATGAAAATGTTCAGTAAAAAAATTAAAATGGTCTTGAATTAATAATTCATAAACTGGTGAGAAGCAGATTCCTACTCAGGCTGAAGCTTAAGTAATGGTGGGAAGCTTCAGGGTGGGTGAAACACTGACGCCAGCTTTTCCCTGGATGGAAACCACAGGCTGAAGGATGAATCCATTCAAGGAGCAGAGTCTAAGCCATGAAGCCACCCAAGGCGCAAAGGGCTGAGACCTGAAAGGAACGCGTCTGCAGCACGGGTCACGCGGGGACTGGCTCGGACCACGAGCTGAAGCAAAAGAGAAGAAGAAGCTCCCATCTGAGAATTCCAAACCAAAGCATCTTGTTTGTAATTTGCTATATTGGAAGAAACAAAAGCATAAGGAAGCTAGATGAAACCAAGTAGTTTGTGAGGCACAGGCAGAACGAATGAGACGCGTCAGGAACGAACGGGAGGTAAACCGGTCACCTACGAGAATGGTGATGTACAGATTCAGTAATGGAGCAAAATGGGATAAACGTGGACTAGAAAGGCGAGCACATGGCGCGCAGTCAACATTCTTGGGGTCCCGGGGGCAAGGCATCGGTGATACCTGTTCCAACCTCAGCCCAAGAAGCACATAAGCAAACCGAGAGCCACTCGCCAGTTAAATGAAAGCAGCCTTTGCGGCCAGGCTTGCGAGCTCTGCCACTCTCGGTAAAGAAAACGTGTGCCTGACCCCGGGAACCTTGACCCCTGGGCCTTCTCCCTGCACCTCACATCTGACCCCACAAGCCACAGCACCCTCGAGGTGCAGCACAGCAGGCGTGGAAAGAGTTCTTATCCCAGACGCGGGTGATCCTCTACCCTGACACCTTCCAGGGCACCAAGGCGACAGCCCATCCTCGGGAATGGTTCGCCTGGGAGCGTAAATGGAGGATATAATTACATCAGGAAATCCCTTCAAGGCATCTTTTAAAGTTTGGGAGCCCAGAAATATGAACTTCAAAGACTCAAATTTAGAATTAAAAATGAACCCGATGAAGCCGGGTACACACCTGTAATCCTAGCACTTGGGAGGCTGAGGCAGGAAGATTGCTGAGTCCAAGGCCAGCCTGAACTACAGAATGAGACCTCATCTCAAAAAAATAAATAAAATGACCTGATGGCTAGTGAAGACATCCAAAAAAAGCAAGGTTTTACTTGAAGAAGCCAAACCCTCAATCTCAGACCTCAAATAGTTTCCACAGCAACTCAAAAGGAAAAAGAAAATCACTGTACACCACAAAACCTCAAATACTAGAATCATTGGCTACCAAGTATAAAATAAGTATTTTTATCTTTTAAAAAAATGAATAATTCTTACGGTTGTTTGAAAACACAAAACAGAACTCCTAGAATGCACATATAATAGTTAACATTCTAAAAATGAATAAACAGCTTTATAGCAGATTAGAATTAAATATAACCCTAAGGGTTTATATAATACCGCATTTCAAAATGGAAAGTGTAGATACCCGTGTGTATGGTTTTCTGTGTATATTTGCACATATTCTTATACTTTATATAATTATAAATAATGTATAAACATATTAGGTATGTAGATCATACTATAAATATATAAAGCAAATCACTTCCCATCACCTTAAATTTTTTTTTATTTATTCTGTGCGCCTATAACAGACTTGTGAGCGTTATGCTTTAATTATGATCAGTAAGTCTATGGCATTTGTCTTCCTCAGCACCATCTACTCCTCCTTTCTGTCCCAATAACTTCCGCTTTCCCAATGACTTCCGCTTTCCCAATGACCTCCGCTGGAAGCTGGGATTCGCTGTGAGAGGCGAGAGAGGGCAAATTCCTCACAATCGCAATCCTGCACTGACTTAGACCTGAACGCACTCAGGAAACTCACATTCCGGGAGACGCGCCGCTCTCCGTCCACTTCCACCCATTTTCCCCGGTATCAAATGACAGCCCGATCCAGTAAGAACTTCCACCAAGCTGGAGTCGAAGGAAGTCCTGTAAAGGAAACCAAGTGCACCGTGAAGCAAAACGCTCATCTGCTAGGTGACAGGAAGGAGACGGCCAGAGCTGCTGTCCCCGTCCTGCTCCCTCCAGCCCATTTTCCAAAGGCATTTCCACCAGTACATTATTTACTCATGCTACAAATGGAGATGTTTGATATTTTTTTTCAATATGGAAAGTATTGTGCAATAGATTTGTTAAGAAATTTTGCACACTTTCTGACAAATTTGTGCTCCAGAAGAATACTGAAGGATACAAGACAGCAATCAACACATAATAAATGACAGAAACATTCTACAAAACATTTATTAAAATAGAAAGTATAAATGAAGAGGATGTACGTGAAAGCTTCAGTTTCCTACGAGAAAGCCCTTTTGCAGTTTAGGAACTGGAAAGGGTAAAGGGGAGAGGAGAAGGTCAGAAACATTCGCTGCCTTTAAAATGTGATATATCACGGTGACATAGCACACGACGTCTGATTCAATGACTGAAACGTTTTAAATGATAGGGTTATATTTATATTTTACTCTGTCAAACAGAAAATTATTTCATGACCTGATATTGTGAATTATTTTACATTGTAATTTTAAACTATTACCAAATTTGCACATAAATGTTCTGTTGCTTTCCTAGATGATGAAGAGAAGTTGCAGGCTAGCTTTTTATTTCTCTATGAAAGCACAAGTTGGTTATGTGGATGATTTTCCTTAGTAATTAATTAAAATGCGCAGCTGAAGGTCCTCATTATCTTAGACCCAAGGGTGAGGGGCAAAGTTCAAGAGAGTAAAAGTGAACGTAAGAGTCTGTATTACCAGTTCATCTTTATCTTCTATCTGCACAAGGGATAATCCGTAATTCTGACAAGTTTTCTTACAGCGATTCCAGTCTTTACTTTCCATGATAAAGTAGTAGCATTTTACTCCACAACAGGTCAAGTGGCCTCCCCAAGTTTGACCTGCAACATGTAAGAAGCATTAAGCCTCTTGTTATTTAGCATCCTGCAAATCAGAGCAATATATTTATCAACTTTCTGTAACTAAATAAAAACATCATAGCTCTCAGTAATGAAAGTACAGAGTTCATCAAGATTCTAGAGGCGCCCAGATACCCAGCACTGATAGATGATGGAAGGATAAGTAAAGCTTATTCACATATGAGGAATATTTTTCAGCCTCTACGAAGAAGTAAATCCTGCCGTGTGACTACATGAATGAACCTTGAGGACGTTGCACTCCATGAAATAAGCCAGCCATAAAAAGAAAACACTTCTTTGTGCTCCCACTTCAATGAAGTGTCTAAAATAATAAAAGTCCCAGAAGCGGAGATTAAAATGGTGGTTGCCCCATATAGGTGAGAGGGGAAATAAAGAAATGTTGTTCAGTGTATAAATTATCAGCAGTGCAAGATGAGCTAGTTCTAGGGATCTGTTGTGGAAAATAGTACCTACAGTTTACTGTACTGTATTGTGTACTTAAAAATGTTAAGAGTGTTCATGCAGGGTAAATGCTCCTGCTGGAAAAGAAATTAGACATGAGAAAACTTTTGAAGGTGACAGTTATGTCTATTACCCTGATTTTCAGAATGGTTACATAGGTATTTACATTTTTCCAAATTTATCAGACTAAGGGCTGGGGATTTAGCTCAGTGGTGCCACTGCCTGCCTCACAAGCGCAAGGGCCCGAGTTCGAACCCCAGTACAAAAAAAAAAAAAAGAATTTATCAGACTGGATACATTAAATATGTGCATTTTTGTATTGCAATAATAGCTCCATAAAGTTATTTTAGGTCAATAATAAATTCATCTTTCAAAATATTCTGAAATGCTTTCTAAATATATGAAAGATTTTTGGAACTTTTTCTTTTCTTTCCATTTATTTTATAATATACTAAATTTTTAAATGTTATTGATCCTTTAATAATGGAGATGATAATTCTACTACTACCATAAAAAGTGAGATTTAAACATGAAAAAGCTCTTTATGAACACTACAACCTCAAGACATTTAGTAGTCATCGATCGATGAGATCAACTCAAGATAACCAGGTTATTATGCAAGACAAAAGTTTACTGCATGAAATTTAACATCTTTTTTCTCAGCTGTTTTTAATGTTATTTTCACACACAGTTGCACAAACATCAACCCTATAGTTAATCTTGCTCCAGGGAATATTATACAAATAGATTAAACATCTGAACTCAAAGCAGAATGAAAACATACACACACAAACACACACACATTATTTTAATAACAGCATCTAAATAATACATATATTTTGAATGACAGCCTCTATATTTCACATCAGCAACAAAATGAGATTTTTTTTTTTTTTTTTTTTTTTTTTTTTTTTGTCCCGGGGATTAAACTTGAGACCTTGCACTTGTGAGTTGTGAGGCAGGCAGCAGAACCACTGAGCTACATCCCCAGCTAAACTGTTTCTCTTTTCTTTCTTTCTTTTGTTTTTGGGGTTTTTTTTTTTCAAAATTAGATTCTTTAATTTTCTCACCGGAACAGAAAGAGCTAAATTTTCAAAGGAGGTGCATTGAGTTTAGAGAACTGTAGGGCTTTCCTACTCCCAACATGGCTCTGATGGCCCCAATCCCACACTTGAAATAAGCAGACTCAGATATCCAGATCATGTCTATAAGGTACAAAGTAGAAGTTTTCCAAGGCCGGGGATCTAGCTCAGTGGTGCTGTGCCCGCCTTGAAAGCTGAAAGTCCTGAGCTCAATCCCCGGTGCCAAAAAAAGTTTTTCATTAGACCTACAGATCACTAGTAATCTACTCCTGTTTATTAGACTTCAAAGCTTCTGTCATAGAAGAAATAATGCAGCCTTTTACTAAGGATTTTCCACCATACCTGTATTTTGCGAACATTTTGAAAAGAAGGTCTTATTTTTCCTATGACAGTTGTTCTTGAAAGACAATTCCTGTTCTTTGTTTTTCTGATGTGTTTCATTTTTAAGAGCATCATATTCTAAAGTCTTATTTATCAAACGTTCCTTTAAAGTGCTGTCATTCTGCGCTTGCCTGAGGTTTTCTTGAAGTTTCTCCTTTTCATTTTTTTCCTGAAAAACTAAAATTAATAGCATAGATGTAATCTTAAAATACTCATACTGAGTAAATATTAAAACTTAAGACAAAACAAAAAGTCTCACTTTGACAGCCAATTCACATTGCTACTTTAATTAGTAGTTTGACATTTAGAAAGTAACACCTTGGTGAGCTGACCAAAGGAATGGAAAAGTCGAATTTCTCACTGTTAGCAACTTAAATATAAGATAAATAAAATAAAACACCTGAGTAAAATTGTGATAATTCCTTACCTCTTAGCTCATTTTTAACAACCTATCATTACAAAAGAACCAAGGAAAAATCAGTCAACACTTCACAACACATCTTCTGAGGATGAAAATCCAGACTAGGAATCATGCAGAAATGGCATCATCGTGACTACAGCAGATGAAATATCCACAGGAGAAAAGACAGTAAAAGAAGCCAGATACCTAATTTGATTTTTATATCAGTGATTTTCTCTAAAAATGTGAGGAAATTAAAAGGCAAAAGATTTATTCAATCTGAAGGGAAGCCAGAGTAGATTGTGAGGGAATTCAAATAAAAGAGAAAGCTTAAACACAAAATCATTTTACATTCATGCACATATTTGTTCTATACCATCCTCGTTAGACATTTAGGAGAAAATTAAGAGAAAGTCATCATTTCTTTTTTGTTTTGAGGGATTTTTTTTGTTTTGCTACCGGGGCCTGAACTCAGGACCTTGCGCTTGCGGGGCAGGTGGCAGAACCACTGAGCTAAATCCCCAGCCCCTTTGTTTCTGTTTGTTTGGGGTTTTTTCCATCATTTCTTCTGAACAGCTGTTTCTCCCTGAACACTCATCTCAGATTCACAATGACCTGAACTCAGATGGCAGAATATCACTAAGTTCTCTATGAGGGAACAGGGCATGGAACAAGATAGAATGAGATAGCTCATGCAGCCTCGGAATCAATGGACTAAATAAATAAAATCAAACACAACACTGTGAGATGTCCTGGAGAAAAAAACCAACAAAGCCCAGAGGCACCTGGGACAGTCCCAGATGACAGACCGGAAATAACCGATGCAGCCTGGCTTCAGTTTGTGTCTAGTGCACAGTCTGTGTCTAACGCTGATGCTCAGGAGGGAAAGATGTGTTTCAGGTACTCACTCTTCATCACCAGCACCACAACTGTCATCAGCAGAAGTAAGCAAATGATCCCAAGAGTCACTGCAATGAGATGCCAGGGCACTGCAAATCCTTTAGATAAAAATGAAAGACAATAGTCACCAGGGAAAGAGCCTGGTCCACCACGAACCTTACCAAGGGACACCACTGAATCAAGGGGAGGACGTTATTTAATAAAATGATGTCACATAAAGTGATTTAAATGTGTGATCCAGGAATTATAGTTTTAAAGTTTGAGATTTCTGGAGGATACACAACCATTGTCGAAATCCTGCATATGTGACCATTTCTGTATGATTTCAAAAGCACCAAAGACAACAGACACAATACAGATTAGAGCATCCAAAATGACATGTGCTCCTCCGTGTGATCACAAAACCAATCACGAAGAGAAAGGAAAAATCAGTCAATATGCTTTTTTTTTTTAATCCCATTCCCCTCCTCAAAGTCAATATTTTTGAGAAAGTGGTAGTCAATCAAGGATATTGTGAAGCTGAAAATGGGATAGGGGTCCACCCTTCAAGAAGTTTCTAGAAATCTACTTTCTTTTCTTTGTCATAAGTCTCACTCTTTTCTAGATTATACTCTCTTTATCTTTGTGCTTGTGAGGTCCTCGGCCTCTGAAATTTGTATCTCTACTATCCATAAATCAAAGAAGTAGAAGTTTTCAATTTAGAGTTTAATTTTGACAATATTTAAGGGAAGAGTAGAAATAAAGAGAGAATAGAAAAATTAGAATTTCCCTTCTGATGCAAACTTTTTTTTTTTTTTTTTTCTGTTTCATCTCTGTTAAGGTTTAGTAAATTTTTAAAACATCCCAAATATTTTTATTTGAATAAAAATATTGTTAAACACTGTTTTTCATTTCTCTAGAGACTTTTACTTATCTAGCAAATGCAATGCTTCTTCTGATTTTATATTTAAAGGACTCAAAAATTCTTCTTGACCATATTTGAATACAACAACCTGCTATTTTCTCAAATTTAAAAGAATGTATCATCCCTACATCCTCAGAGCAGATTTTTCTATCCTACTACTCTAGCTCATATGGTTTTGCGCTACCAGCTGACAATTAGAAGGGGAAGATAAGACCTTTCCTCCAAATGTCAGAAGCTTGGCAAGTCATAAGAAACAGGTCAGTGTAGTTGCTTAAAACATAAACCTTTCTCATCAGCTTCTCTGGGCCGTTTAGTTGCATTGGGTCTTAGTTTATTCCGTGCCTCTGAAGGAGACTGAAGAAATCTCAGGGTTGTGTAAGTCACCTCCTCAGTGCTCATCTTCAGAATAAGAAAAGAAGGATGCTTCGCACCAAAACTCTGCCAGGAGATGATTCCTGTCTAGAAGAACAATTCAATTAAAATGCCAGCCTATAGGAACATAGTAGGATTTGATGTGTCTGTGGTTGCATGTTTATTAGTGCTTTCAAAGCATGTAAACTGAGCCTGATTTATGTGAGAAATGAAAAACCTTTCAACATTGCTGTTCAGGTCATTTCTACATCTAGTGATCACTGCCATGGTTATTAGAAAATATGAAAAGGGCGAAAACTTCTAAAAATAGATTACTGTCCTATTGACCCAACTAATTTTGCTCAAAATGTTCAACATACATTTTAAAATGTTAGGCAAAATTGGTATCAACTCAAATCACTAAACACTATTGACTCAAATAACAAGAACTCAAAGCATTCTGAAAAAAATGCAAATATCCTTGGTCTTTACAGACACACGCACACTTTGATACACATGAAATATAAAAGTGTTCTTACATTCTCAGCAACTATGCGTGACTCTACCAGTATTTCCCCAAGTGCATTCCCAACACTCTGCAAAAGAATTATTTGAGGGTTAATACTGCAGATTCTGATGCTCTGGACAAAATTGGTAAATAAAAATATCCTGGATTGGAGTCTAAATACCTGTACCTTTAATCCCTAATGATTCCATGTACATGAAAATTTTATAATTTTCTAGTATATGTTGTTGTCAGAGGAGTCTATGTGAAAATAAACTGTCAATAGGAACTCATTAGTTACTATCCATAGAAGACACAGTCTAGTAACATATATAGAAATAAATGTTGAATGGTAAATATTTAAATTTTCCTTTGTTTTTTATACTAATCAGTATGAAAAGATGACATCCAAGAAACAGGAACTGCAACAAACAAACTACATATAACTATATTATTTTCTAATTCTTTCAATTCACAAAAATTTTTACACTTAATTATTCACATTTCCCTAATTTCTTTAAATTAAAAAGAAGTCTTTTATAGAATCCTTCAAGATGGATAACATGCAAATCATTAGACCCAAGGAAAAAATAATTTTCTCTTACAAATTCCTCTTCATTTTGACAACACAAAAAGATCATAACTTAAGAAAGATAAAATAGGGCTGGGGATTTAGCTTAGTGGTGCCACGGCCTCCCTTGCAAGTATAAGGTCCTGAGTTCAATCCCTGGTTAAAAAAAAAAAAAGGAAAAATAGTTTTCCATAAATGTGAACTATAATTTTTATGTCTTTCATAGTTAATGTAGTTCTAATGCAACCAGTCAAGCATACTCTCCTATCAACTCCATTCCCATGCCAACCCATTTATAATAAAATACTGTATCTCCAGAATAAGTAGGATAATGTGCTACAAAGACCTACGGGAATAAAAACAGATCTTACCTGTATCTGAGTTATGTAGCGCTGCCGGTGAAAGAAACTGACCCCAAACTGAGAAATGCATCGGCCTTTGCTGTCCAGATCTCTTAGAGGCTGTAAGACAAAAGGCAGCAATGAATTACCATTAGCTAGTGCTCCAGTCAAACGTTCTGCCCCTCCTCTTGACCAAAGTGAAAAGAGGAAACTGTATGAGTAAAGTTGAGGCTGACGGGACAGGAAAGATGGTCATGGGCTATATATTCCTCTGTCTGAGCCAAGCAGCCACTTGGTTCTCTGCCAAATTAACTCTAGTAGCTAACCAGCTTGCCTAAGGACACGCGGGTGGCATCTCTTCAGTCAAGTTTAAAATGAAGCCTGACTGCTGGGGATGGTGCTCAGTGTCAGGCCACTCGCCTAGAACGAACACACGGCCCTGAGCTTGATTCGCAATACGTTTTTAAAAATGAAATAAAAAATAAAGTAAGCTCTTGTTAAATACATAGAGCCTTTCGATTCAGAGGAGATTCAGTTTTCAATAAAGCTCTTGCCACAGAGTGTGGATTCTGGAAGCAGGCCAGTGTGGTTGAAATATCAGCTGTAGCTCCCTTGGGTGGCTTCCTGTAGGTCTCCTGATTCTTTGAGCCCCGGATTCACCACAGCAAATGATTGTACCGTTGGCCTCCCAAGGCTGCTGTGCTTACCTATAAACTGGCATAGACACAGTAACCCCTCATTGAGTGTAAAATATCATTGTCTGAAGTCCAAGATTCAAATCCTTCCTAGCCATGAAAATTTGAACAAATCCCTCTGAATCTTCAAGCGTCAGTTTCCTCACATGTTCAGTAAGAGTGTCCCCCATTTCATTGGTTTGGGGAAATTGAATGCAATTAAGATTACAGGTGAGATTTCTTACCTTTAAATTGTTGTTGTTGTTGTTTTTCATTTTATTTTTGTTTTATTTTCTTTCCTAAATTTCTAAAAAGTAGAAGCCGTAAGACTGGAATCCAGAAATCCTGAGCCAACTGCTAGGGCTTTTATATGGTTTGTCCCACCAAAGCTCGTGCTCAGGCTGGGACCCCAAAGTAGCCATATTGGGCTGCGGGCCCAAATGGAGGTGTTTGAGTTGCGGGCACAAGGCCCCATGACGGAACTGGTGCTTCTCTCCTGAGGGAATTCGTCAGCTCACAGGACAGTCCACTGTTATAGTCTGTCACTTTCACACACTTGTTCTTCCATTTTCTGTCGAATTAAAGCAATGTGAAGCTCTCAGCAGATGTGACTGCCTGATCTTGAGCTTTCCCACCTTCAGAATCATGAGCTAGAAGAACTCCCATATGAATCATCAGTCTTGGGTGTACTATTACAGCAACAAAAATTGAACTCAGGCACACTCGGCTGGTTTTCCATTCCACTGTGTCAAACTTGGAGTGTGGGTGGTGAGAAGGTGGAGATGATATAGTAACATGATTTAGGAACTGGAAAACGTATAGCAGCATCCCACCCCTGCTCTAGACAAACACATTCTGCGGCCTCGGATCTGGGGATTTTTTTCTTTCTTGCCCACACCGTTAGTGGTGATGTTGAGGATTTTTCTGTTCTGGTTTACAATCGAACAGCTGGTGAGAGCATGGGTTACCCTCAGGATGGAGGCTAGGCAAGTGCAGAGCACACTTTTTTACAAATGTGTTTTATATGTTATTTGTCGCCTCTAACATGATATGAAGTCCAGAAGGGGTGAGTAGCACATCTGGCTTGTCCGTTATTACAAAAATATGATGCCTACCACAGCCTTAGTGAACAGAGGACAAAGTTAAGAGAAACTGATTACAAAATCTAGAGTTTTCATAGTTCTAGAAAGAGGCAGAATGATAGTAATTAGCACATCAAGTTGTGTAGCTGCTACCCTAAACTCTGTTTTTATTGCTAATCACTGCATTTTGGAAAAAAGCCAAATTATTTTTTTAAGTGAGAAGACAGTATCAGAAAGCAACTAACTTCAGGCTGAAAACTCCCACCTTGACTCCAACTGAAGCAGCAGGACATTGGATGTACCAAACTTTCTCACAACCAGTTAATAAAACAGAGATGAGGAATCTCAATGTTCTTGAACTTTGTTTTCCAAAAACCTTTTTTTAGTATATATGCTGCCAAAGCGAGCACTCCAAAAACATTTTTGTGCGAGACACATCCAAGTACACACATGTGAACATGAACATATAAAGCTTTCGTTTATTTTCTGCAGCTACAGAAGCCACCTATTCTACCCATTCCTTGAGAATGATGTGGTTAGCTGGAGACTGCACACAACTGGTCATACCATCAAAGCTTCCGGTGACACTGCAGTCCTCAGTGGCTTCATCATCCACAGCAGCGTGCTGTCTTCCTGTCCCCGGCTGAAGGGAGGGCACCTGGAACAACCACCAGTTCAACAGGAGGAATCACTCCTGGCCGGGTTCCTGCTTTCTTGTCCTTCCTGATATTTTACTTTTACACCACTGGGAGATGCTAAATTGCAGGCTCTAAAAGTAAAAAACCAAAACATCTCTGCTTTCACATGTCTCGTCCCTCTAATCACCCCATTTGTCATCCTAAAGGTATTCTGATGCTCTGGATTTTAAAAACTCTGGTCCCAAGTGAGCCTCCAACAGTAAAATTAACCAAGTAAGGACAACAACTCAGAACTAAGTAAAAATAATAAAACAGCAAAAAAGAAAAAAGTTTCAGATCACTGTTTGGATTTTATGCCACTAAGAAACAAAGCGTATTCACGGGTTCAAAGAGAAAATTGTTAAAGATTAACCCACAATTAAGATTTTTGATTCTTAAACCAACATTCTCCCCACCATATTACCCAGATCTAAGAAATGTGGATATGGACATTGGAGGGTCTGCTCTGGCAGGATCTGGGGTCACCATCAGTTGAATCACTCCTTTACCCTCACTGTTTGTTTTAGATATGGGGTGGCTCTAGTTTATTAGTTATAGTATGATGGTTTCTCAACAGATGGTGTCGCCCTCCTATGGGAGACCCCAGAAGATGCCATATATCGCAGAGAGCCCACTACACTGCCGACCCTTAGAGAAGAAAGTGAAAATGCCTGTGCAGCGATCTCGGGGGCCAAGGCTACCCAGGCAGCACCTCGCTGTACTGAAAATCTAAGGTCGCTCACGGCCACCACTCTGAGCACCTCTTGTAATTGCAGAGGCCAAAGGTAACGTGTATTTATCTATGCTGTCAATAAATTTAGTAGTAAAATATTTAGGCCATTTTCCTTTTCCCGGAGTCTAGTTTTCTGGTGGATTCCATACATAGTCAGAGAGGCCGAGTTTATCAGATCACAGCAATTCCCAGCATTGTATTTCAGCATTTGCAGCATCGGTCAAGCAACATTAGCGTTGGGCTTTGTGAGAAAACAGAATTACAGCTGCACCACATCCAAAAGACACATCCTCATTTCACTTCACAGTTCTCTGGTGTGTGCACACATGCAAAGATGTGTGGTAAATATAGATTTCCATAGCAACAAAAGTATCACCTCAGACTAAAGTATGTGCATACTAATAATCTGAAGGCAGTAAGGACAGAGTGAAGCAACCAACAAAACTTCTACGAATCACCTACTACACAGAAATCACTGCTAGCAGGGAACCATTGAGTGCGCCTGTAATCCCAGTACTCCAGGAAGCTGAGGCAGGAAGATGACAAGTTCGAGCCCAGCCAAGGCAATCTGGCAACTTAGCCAGGCCCTGCCTCAAATTTTTTAAATGTTAAAATTAAAAAGGGGCAAGAAAGGCTTCAAGGTGTTGCATACGTGACTTACCATCCCACAAAAAAAGGCAGAATATGGGCCAGGGATTTAGCTCAGTGGTGCTGCCGCCTGCCTCGCAAGGTCCCAAGTTCGATTCCCATTACCAACAACAAAAAAAGGCAGAATGAGATGCAGACACACATGGATTGGTTGATCTGAATGTAACAAAAAACTAGTTTCACCTCAAACTAGTGCCATAGAGTTCAGATTCCAGTGATCACTGTCAGTCAAGACACAGCGTAAAGCATAAAATCAAACATAAAAGTACAAAAAATTTATCCTAAGGACCCAGTCTCCAATTTTGATATACATATATAAAGCTGGGCGTAATCCCAGCACTTGGGAGGCTGAGGCAGGAGGACCACTAGGAGTTCAAGGCCAGCCTGGGTCACATAGTAAGACCCTGTCTAAAAATATAAAAACTTAAATATAAAATAAAATTAAATAATAAATGTGATGTCTTAGTATAGTGGGGAAGAATAAGAGAAGTAAATCAATACTAGAAGAAAGAGAATGGAGTAGAATTACTACGTTAAAAGTTTTTAAATCTAAGGGCTATTTCTTCCCAACTGGAAGCCATAGAATGAGTCTTAAGGAATACGCTAACTGGCCACACGAGAGGTTCAGAAGCTCCTCTTCCTCCTCAGTGACATTTACATGAAAGAGAATTATGAAGTGTATTATACTGTACATTCATCAGGGCCCACAATGTGAACCAAACTCACGGTCATACAAGAAATCTGACGGTAAGGAGAATGGCCTACTGGGTAATACGGAGAGCAGCTGACTTCACAGCCAATTTGAGAATGACCTCGCGTCTTCAGAGCAGATCCAGGAACCAGCTGTCCTCAAAGGCAGCTTTAGACACCCCCCCCCAGACAGGCTTTAGAGCGGGTTTGTCCAACCCCCAACCTGCACAGCTGGCAGGATCCTAAACTCTTTAACACAATGTGATTTCCAGAACACTCTTTCATGGCGGAACTGCAAGGCGCCCAAGCAGACTGCACAGGCGACTACGGACTGCTGTGATCAGGGCTCAGGACAGCGCTAACCCCAGCTCCTGCACCAGACGCGTCCAGTCCGATGAAAACCTGCGTGCATCACTCACTCGCCTGACCTGCCCAGTAAGTGCCGTGATTGAACCATTTCAACCTACCACGAAAAGCAAAATTTAAAAATCTCTGATGATGGGGGCAGAATGGTTATGAAGCACTTGCTCAGAAAATCCCTAACATCTGCAGTTAAGAGCTGTGACGCTAATCTGAAGTTGCTCCTTGCTTCCCAAGGCAACAAACAGGCGGCTTCCCACCACCACCTGGGATGTAAAGATCTATTCCTAGACACATTTCATAAGCAGCAAACACTCCGGACTACCAGTCATAATTTTGTATTAATGGAAAATACTAGCTTTTAGTCAAATCCAGAGAAAAATTAAATGAGGATGCATATTCCGTTTTCAAGTTGTGAGTACAGAAGCAGGAGAGGATGGAGAGAGGTGTCAGGGTCAGTGTACTCTACGTGACTAAGGGAAGGGTGAGGGTTAGATCGCATTCTTCTAGGACACTTATTTTTTTAAAGGATAAGCTTTTATTGTTTTCTCTTTCATTTTGATGGTTTTGGTGTTGGGGTTTGTACCTATTAAGCAAGTGCTCTACCACTGATCTATGCCACCAAACTAAGAATAAGCTTTTAAAGCATCAATAAGAGAGAAAAAATAATTTAATCTGACAAGGAAAAAGAGGTGTTGCTTTCCAAACGCCCTTTCTAATAAGTCCACAGAGCATAAGCAACTATGGCAGATAATAAACACATCAACTTTGTTGAGACAAAAATCATTCAAAAATGAGTTCTCTGACCCAAGGCTTCATTCACATGGCAGCTTTTCATAGCTTTTGGTTCCACAAAGCCTGTTTTGGCCTCACATGATATGTCTCAAGGGTAGAGTAGTGGACAACATGGTGCTTTAAAAACTTTTTCAGCTTTAAGGGTGAAATCCTAACTGTGTATTTTAAATCAGGATAAAGGTACATATAAATAGCTCCTGTCATATTGTTTCCTTGTTTAAAATGTGAGTAATAATACAAAAAATTACCAAGTCTACACTCCAGATGTTCCTGTAAGATGGGATGCTACATTTATTTATCCTCTCCTATACATCTCTGAATTTATTCTACCATATAACTCTTTATGAAAACTCCTACTTATTTCTTAAATAATTTTGTTTTATGTAGAGCTGGAATTAAAAAAAAACTCATTTCCCAAGTAAAAATAAATAAAATAAAAATAAAAATCTGATGAGTGAGCGCCTAAAGGACTAAGAATTGCAGCTTCCATTGACTGACACTAAAGCACTAGATTCACAGAAGCAAGGTTAAAATCCCACTTGTTCGTATTTTTAAATGTTGTAATAAAAAGGTCTTAAAGTTTACTTATATACGTTGTTTTCCATACACTTTTGTATGTGTCTGAAGACAAGTCTTTACTCAGTGTGGCAAGAGGTGTAGGGTGTAGGCCCCACATAGGTGTGGCTACTAAATTTCATCGAAACTAAACAGCAGAACCAAAAAAAAAGCTTATTGGCATCAATTAGGTGAAAAAAAAAATCAACAAATAACATTAGAGGCTTAGTGGCAATTATTTCAAATATTTTGTACCTTTAAAATTTTTCATAATAAAACATAAAAAAACATTTTATTCAACACTATAAATTCAAATGAACTAGTTACATCTCCAGTAATCAGTAGCCACTTGCACTGCAGCTACAGAGAACATTTCTATTTTCGCAGAACAAATGTACTGGACACAGCCATTCTGTGCTAGCAGCTCAGGAGTCCCGGCCAGCACTGAGAAGGCCGGTGTGGGTGCTGTCAACCAGCATGTGGGAGGCTGACGCAGGATCACTGTGAGTTCACGGCCAGCCTGAAAATATATAATGAGACCCTGTCTAGAACACAGATAAATACATTTTATACTTAAGTGGTTCAAGTCACACACACACAAATAAGGAATGAAGGTATGAGCAAAGATATCCCTGAGTACTGTCTATACTCTTAAAACTTTAGATAATTATTGCTTACACCAAAAAAAGTTAAAAGCCAATTGTCTTGGAAGGGTTTATGATTCATGTGAAAAAATCCAGAAACTTCTGTAGACAACTTCAGTAAATACCCATACAGCAAATCCTATCAGGTATGGAAGAAACATGGGAAGATCAATGGCTAGAAATCTGGCTACATATTTCCACCTGCCACAGCATGTATCTACTGCAACAATTTCTTTTTACATTTGAAGGGAATAGAATAGCTTCCCGAAATGAAATATAAAACTGTCCATTCAGGCTTTGATATATTTTATTAGAGCAAAATTTAACAAAAACTGACTTTTATTTACAGGATTTAATGTATATGTGGACAGTCTTAGCCGCTTAGACCCAAGGGAGGAAAATCATTAAGCCTGTTTATGTATTTTCATATGTTCAGTTTACATACAAAAAGTTTGTTTTCACATTCATAAAAATTCAAATATTATAAATGAAAAACCCTTCCTCCCCCTCCCCTCAAATATACAAAGAGCTTCACAAATATACAATTTAAATTGGTTTAATCTTGAAGTGTAATCCAATGAGACTGAAAACTAAACATTTCAAGTCTTGTACCAAATAGTAAAATACTCGAAGGCCTTCAGGATCCCTAAAATTTAAATAGGTAAAAGTTAGAATTTTGGTCCTAATGAAATACAATTTTACAAATTCTGACAATAAAACTGAAACCCTGCAAACAATTAACAATTAACTGGGAAAAAAAAACAATTAACTTCTTAGAATTTAGGAGAAAGTAAGAACTTTGCTAACAATTGAAACTACTGAATGTTTTAACACCTGAGTCTTCTGTAAGGAAAAGTTTTTTTCGTTGGTATTTATTTTCATATTTAAAGTGTTTACCTCATTATAGAAAGTAAGCTATGCATCACAAAAATGTAGAATGAAAAAAATAAACTACTCATAATAATTCCATGCTACCACCCTAAGTACTAACAATAAACATTTTGGTGTTCTTTTTTTTCCTGAATAACTAAAATCATTCTCTGTGGCGTTATTTTTATCACAGCATTAAAAAAGAAAAAAACATCTACTGATGACTTTAATTTAGCCAATCTACCCTTCAGTGATCATCTTCATGCATAATAAAGCTTTGCTGGGTGAAGGGAGGGCAGAGGTAAGGGGGAAAAAATGAGAATCAAGACTTGTCATGTAGAGGTACAAGATCCCAACAATAAATGTAACTGTACTGTATCCCCAAAATGTACCAATAAACTCAATTAAAGCTGAAAAAATAAAAAATAAAAAAGCTTTGCTAATATCTCAGGATATAGTCTTGAAACAGATGCTTGCATGAGATTACAAGAGCAAAGGTGAATGGAAAATGTGAGTTTCAGATGCACGTTCCAAACTGCTTTCCAAAAAAGCAGTGTGACCAAGGAATGTCATATACTCAGCAACAGTAAGAAAATTAATAGTTTAAAAGCAACTGGTTGTTCTTCGTGAAGACAGCCTTTTGTGTCCTTAGATATTTTGCCGTCATTCTTGTCTTTTCCTCTACTTAGCACTTACTTAAAAGATCTACCATGTAGAAGGTACCATGATAATTCGGAAGACACACAAAGTTTCTCATGAAGCTCACATTCGAAACTAGTGAAGCAAGCCAGGTGTGGTACTGCCAGTCTGTAATCCCAGCACTCTGGCAGGCTGAGGCAGGAAGGGGTTTTAAGTACAAGCCCAGGCTGGGCAACTTAGCAAAACCGTGTCTCAAAATTTCTTTAATTTAAAAAGGGCTGAGGATGTAGCTCAGAGCAAAGGTCACAGGTTCAATCCCCAGTAAGGGGACCAGGGGACATTTTTGAAGGAAAGAGGCAGGAAGAAAGGGCTTGGATGAAAGGGGACACTATGCACTCAAGTAGCCCAAAGACGACACAGAACAAGGGAGACACAGCTAAAATAGTACCATACTGGATTTTTGCCACATTTTCCAAGTATTAAAACACAGAAAAGAGTGATATGATAGCTAACAAGACTGGTATAATTCAGTAAGAATTTTTCTTTAAATTTTGTGACAGTGTCCAGACTTCTATACAGCATAGCTAATGAAGACTGGGCATTATTATGGATATTATGTGGATTATAGGTAATTATCAAATAGATCATGATGGGCATCATTTTGGATGAAGATGCTATTTTGGTAGTCAAGAAAGACAAGAGACAAGACAATAGACAAGACAAAGAGTCTTTAAGGACATAAAAATCAGAATCAGATCTGCAATGGACACCATTACTGACTCACAAACTGATTATAGTTCTAAGCTGAGTCTCTAATAAATTATGTCAACTTAGCCAAATGTTTCAACATACTCACTTTGACTGATTTACATCAATAAGGGAGCCTATCTTTGATGTGGTAAAAGAAATATGTTCATCTCCAATTACAATTTCAAGCTCCTAGAAAAGAAAAAAAACACAGTTAATAAAAAACATCTATCCCAGAGATAACCTGTATTCTTATCCGAAAGAGGTTTCAATTGTACCTGTACATTTTCTAGCAGTCAATAGAAACAAAGGGAAGCAGATGGCAGGTGCTCAGAAATATACAGCGTCCTCAAAACAAAACCCTCATTGCTCACAAGTTCTACCCCAAGTGACAGAACCAACCAGGAACTGCTTTCCAGAATCATCATAAACAAGACACTTAGTGTCAATAAACAACAGAGGCATCACTTTAAAGCATGGATTATAATTACACAAGTATAAACCTATTCTTAGTACAGCAAACATAAACACATCTCCCTTGCTACAAAACTCTGCAAATACAATGTATATGCATAAAAGCTACCACCTTAGCACGTGCTATATATCAGGCCCTGCTTCTAGGACTTCACGTTCTCTGTAGGCCCTAAAATAACCTTACAAGATAGGCTTTATTAGGGTTACTTTACAAATGTGCCAGACTCATAAAGCACAGGAAAACAGATGCTGATATTTACGATCACTAGTGACACTAGCAGTATTTGATTCCAAGACTGTTAAGATTTAAAGACTTTTTTTAATTCATCAATTACAGATAAGCACCTGTAAAACAAATACAACATAATATAGTCCTTCCTAGCAGCCATATTACTGTATAAACTTCCCTCTATACTGTTTACCTGCAAATTTAAAACTAAGACTTAAGGGGTTATTCTGTCATGAGTTTTCAAGTTAAATTGCCAAACATGTCATTAAAGGCGGCCCCACTTACGCTTAATCGGGAGACCTAAGCATGCAGTTCATGGCACACAGTAACTGGGCAGTTACCTAAGATCCTCTAACTTGACTCAGTGACCCAGCAGATCATTTCTGGAGCATGCCTGCTCCTGCCCACTGACCAAAACCTATGAACACGAGGAGCGGGTGGGTGAAACACCGGACTTCTCTAAGACTAAAAGATAAAAAATGCTAGCTGCTATGGTTTCTGCTTTTTAGTCCATGTATATAAATGCATAAAACAAACTGAGCTCTAAAGTCACTTTCTATAAGTGATATAATGCATAAAATAAATACTGCTATTACCTTTATTTTTCTAAATAAAATTTCTTTAAATAGCAGAGTTAAATTACTGCTACTGTCAGCATCCGTTAGATTTTCCACATTTTTCTTCTAGTCAAAGAATGTGATACAAAGCATAATCCTCAGGAATATAACAAAGTGAAATTAAATGTTTCTTTCTTCCAGAGGTTGTATCTCTTTTCTCCAAAAGTTGAAAAGACTCAGTTCAGAAACCAAATTGCCTCTCTACAGAGTGAAATTAAGCCTTCGAAGTTCCTCAGAAGCCCTTTGAGCTGTTCTAAAGGGAACATTGGAAGCAAGGGCAATAGTCAGTTTGAACAAAGAAAACAATCAAATACCTCTTTGGGGCATGAGGATGCAGTTATTCTGAAAGTTATAAATTTCAAAATAAATTAATTTTATATAGTCACTGAGAATCCTATCTCAAATTTAATAAACTACACCATACATATTCTTAATAAATAACATACAATAGAAATTCTTAACAGCATGAAAACATCCTAGCTTGGGCAGGGTAGCTACAGAGAAAACTGTTCAGAAAAATGTCTACATTTAGCACAGACACAGAGAGGTGGTACACAAAAGTCAAGCTGAAGGGACTCAGTGCAGCCTCGTGAAAGAGCACTTTTCCGGCCTACACAAGGCCCTAGGTTCAATCTCTTAGCACCACACCCCCCAAAAAAGAAGTCAGGTGATGAAGAATCATTAAGGAGTCACGCTAAATAAGGTAGGGAAATACTATTATATTATTATTATTACAACAACAATAGGTAAAGAATCACAACTCCAAACCTGCCGGCCAACTCTGTCAGGGGGTGGCCACAAGGCATCGTCTTCTTTTGTAATTTCACTGTCATCAATTATTCTCTTCAGCTCTTCCATTACGCTCTTGTGGACATATGCCTGGAAATCAAAGACGATGAACGTCACCCTGTGCACCTGTGTCTTTCCGCAACTTAGCGAGAAATGCTAAAAGTTACAAACCCCTAATATTCAATGGAGTGTCACAGCTAATTTAATCCTGATTCCAACTATTTTTCTCAACTTTTATATACTTCTCTAAAATCCTTTGTCACATGGGGACTTAAATGGCTAACAGTGGTGAGATGAGGTCCACAAGGTGAAGAGAAAAATGTAAGTACACATCACAATTAATACTCTGAACTCTTCCTTATCCCCACCTCCTGAACTTCTAATATAAAAATCACACTCCTTATATCTTGATTATCAATTAGTTTTAAACGGTAAAGAGATTAAAAGAAAAGTTAACTACAAAGTGAATTAAATGATATTTTCAAATATGGGACTATAAGTTACTATATTCAAATTGCTTTTTCTGTTGTTAACCAATGCCACAGTCACATCTAACTGAAATGAGGTCTTTTCAATCTATTAATTGACTTTTTTAATGTGTGTGCTGCCGAAGCAAACACTGAATTGACTTTTTAAAAATATAGACTTAGAATGAATTTTTGTAAATTCAACAAAGATATGAGGAAAATGGGCTAAATGTAAAAAAAAAAAAAAAAAAAAAAAAAAAAAAAAAAAAAAAGTAAGTACTTGGAAAGAACTTACCTCTTTTCTGATCATGACATCATTTTTGTAATTGCTATTGTTGGCATATCTAAGCTTTCCTGTGAGGAGTGGAAAAAAAAAATCAGTCCATAACAACAGAAACTGCTAAAAATTTAAAAATAAAGAAATAACATTACAAACAGTTTTGGGGGTCAAGACCATTTTATACATTTTAATAGTGGAGAATGAACTAGGGGCCTCTGCACTGAGCTATATTCCCAGCCCTTTTTTAAAGTTTTTTAATTTGAGGCAGGGTCTCACCAAGTCACTAAGTTTCCAAGGTTGGGCTCAAACCTCTGATGCTCCTGCCTCATCTCCCAGAGAGCTAGGATTACGGGCATGTACACCATGCCCAGGTGAGCTACCACTTTTATCAGTATCTCCTCCTTCCTGGTGTTAAGATCAATGCTAGACATATAGATAGTAAGTTGGCTGATAATAAGTCAGCCAAATTTAAAAACATTCCACGCCTTCAATGCATCATAGGTCATTTCTTGGGCCTGTTTTCTTAAACTATTTCATGATCTAAAAAGGAAATCTGAAAAAGGAATTACTAGTTCTCTTAAGTCTGATATATGTGCTGGCACTAAGTGTGAAAACATTTAATCTGATATGGAATACAATTCTAAAAAGGAGCTTCTATTCTCTCACCCTTTTCACAGTTGAGAAAACAAAGTAACTTGCCCAGGGTCACACAGATTCAGATCTAGATCTACTTCCTTCTGATACTCACTTTCTCCACTACACCAAACTGATCTCTATTAATTATTTTCATTCAAATTAACGTGCTTATAATTTGAACCTTCAAATTAACGTGCAAATGATGGTATTGCTAATTTTCTATAACTGACTAAGAAGCATACAATCTATGCGCTGTTCCTTGGTAAAATTGAGCTAGTTGATTTATTTATATTTAATTTCAATCCTTCGTGACTTTTTTATCTGTGCTACACACTTGCACACACAGCTAGTCTGCTGCCCAGATACAGCTATATATGTGCTCCTGACCCTAGGTTACCCTTGTATGGTCCACCCCTTAGGAACTGCAATTTTGTGACTCGTTATTACCAATATAATTCAGTGAAATGATGTGGTAGTAGGCAAGTGGATGAGAACCACTAGCAAGAAATTCACCTGATACCACTGGGGTACTTAATTTACGTGAATGGCTAAGAGTCATACAGATAAGCTGTATGTTGTTCACAGACAAGGGGATTAAAAAAATATAACAGAGAAAAAAAAAAAGAAGAAAAAAACAACAGATGACTTCTGGTAAGTTTGGCACCTGAACTAAATTTAAAAGAGACATGGGAAGGACACAGATTGGTAAGGTGTTTAAGGTTTCCAAATACTTGCAGGGCTTTAGTTACCTTGAGTTCTGCCTGAAATGCTTAATACTCTTCCCTTTCCTAATATGTAATCCCCTCTTAATTTCTCTCTCATAGAACCTTATCCAAAACACGCAGAGAGCACTTAATAGTCACAATGTCTTATAGTTAGGAGCATGTTTACGTTCCCATGAAGACATGACTCTTTGAGGAAAATTAGAAGTCATACTCATTCCTGCACCTTCAATTTTTGAATTTATACGTTGCCTAGGACATAAGAGACTTTTTAAAAAGTCGATTTAGCTTAACTGTTTTTGTTGCGGGTGAACGGAGTTCAGTACACAACAATATCCTGTAAAGAATCAACAGCTGTCAAACGACAAAAGGGAGGCTGGGCGTGGCGGCGCACACCTGTGATCGCTGCGAGTCTGAGGCCAGACTGGGCTACAAAGTGAGTTCAAGGCCTACCAGAACTGCACAGCAAGAACCTGTCTCAAAAAAAAAAAAGGAATCCTGCCATACACTGGTAGGATTCGACTGGCCATCCGCTCAACCGGGTCTCAGTCTGGCTTTATCTTTCCCTCAGAGGCCAAGAAAACACCACCTCACGTCTAGACTCATTCTCAGGTGTTCCCTCCTCGGGGAAGCTTTTCTGGACTCCCTCCTGCAGAAGCCCCGCCCCTTTTGTACTCTTGGAAATGCATCCCTGTGAAACACTGCAAGCACTTCAAACACATACTCATTTAATAAACACAGCCTCAACACAGCCAGAAAGAAAAAGAAAGAAAGAGAAAGAAAGAAAGAAAGAAAGAAAGAAAGAAAGAAAGAAAGAAAGAAAGAAAGAAAGAAAGAAAGAAGGAAGGAAGGAAGGAAGGAAGGAAGGAAGGAAGGAAGGAAGGTTGGTTGATTTTAAGGATCCACTGGACCACCGCTCGGTGAGAGTGTTCTTTACAATAGGCAGGCATTAACTCTTTTAAAGTCCTTCCCTGGTGAGCTGATTCTAGGATTCCCATTACTGTAGGTTCAACTTTTCAGTCTGTGGCAGGATTGGCTTTGTTGAATTAATTTACCGCAAGAAATTATTTTTTATTCACAAAACCACTCAGGCCTCCTGTGTTCTTAGGCTCTTCCGTACGCGCCCGAGGCAGGGCCCGCGCTCCTGCTGCGTCCCAAGGCAGCGCCTCCCCTCCGATTCCCGCTTCCCAGCACCGCGCTCGGCCCCTCCTCCGCTCACCGTCCGGCCGAAACTCGAACTCCAGAAACTCGTGTCCGAACTTTCCCTTGTGCCCTACGTAGTAGCGTAGGTAGAAATCACTAGCCATAGACATTTTTGCTCCCTGGAAACGCGCCGAAAGCCCAGCCAACGTGCCACCCGGCGCCTGGAAGTTACGTCAGTCGCGCAGACCAAGTGCGTCACAGCAGCGCGCTGATAAGTACGCCGTCACTGCGGCGCGCACAAAAAGCGCGTCATCTCCTGCTTCCAGAACCTCCTGAGGAAGGCGTGGACGTAACCTCTCAAGTGAGTGGCTCAGAGTCCCGGGAGGAGCTTCGCTTGAGGCCTTCGTTGTGCGAAAAACGGAAGCGTATATTATAAAAATTAAGTGGATTACATTATATTAGGAAAGAAGTTCACAATATAATGTCATTTTTATGGGCTTACAACGAAGGTTTATAAATTATTTTACACTTCAGCTCTTAGATATCGGCCTGCTTGACTTGGGTGTGGCTTTTTGTGGATGTGAAATAAATATGCTTTTAGGGTAGCTGATCTTTCGGCATACTATGAAATGAATGTGGCTTTGTTTTCCTCTAATCGTGAGATGAGTAAAGGTAAAAGCCAGAAACAGTGGCAGATCCAGAATGTAACCTGTTTCTCTCGGATTGAATCCTAATGGGGCTTTGGGTAGTGATTGCTAGTTATCCCGCAGCCAAAAATCTGTAAGAGAAAAAGTAGAAGAAATCCATGAGACAAGAGCTTTGAAGTTTTGAAAACACTAAACTGAAAAACCCTAACAGTCATGTTATTGAAGAGCTTTTAATATAACTTAGAAAATACTTCATTCAGTAAGAGTTAACCTTTAGAGCCCTGTGGATTTTTGACAACTTGATTTAACATCAAATAATGGTTTAGCCCACATTTCTTGCCATGTAGACTAAAATTGGGGCAGTGAAATCATGTTACAGCACGAACAACAGGGAAAATGGTGAACTTCACACAGTCTGCTTTTGAAATATTATAAATCGCCTTTCTTTTACCAACACAGAGTAAACCTGGTGAATAACAAGTTTCTGATGGGATGTAGTAGAAAATTATAGAAGAAATTTAATCCCAACACTTAACCACTACTTAACCTTGGACAAGTGACTATCTCTAAGCCTAATCCAAATAAATATACAGCAGTTAGGTTTGCAAATCACACAGAGTTGTTCAGAATAAGAGAGATAATGTAGGTTAAAAAATTTTGAAATTTATGCAGTATGATTTTTTTTTTTTTTTTTTGTACCAGGGATGGAACTCGGGACCATGCTGTTGCGAGGCACGCATGGCGTCCCTGAGCTAAATCCCTGGCCTTGTGATATGAATTTTTAAAAGCATTTCCTGTGTTCTGAAAACAGTTGAACACTAATGATAAAAAGGACCATTTGTACTTTCAGTGCAAAGCAAACATGTAAGGCAAACATCAGCATAAAAACAGTAAAGTCCTGGCATAGTACAACAAAGGAAGCAAGTCATTTTCTTGCAGATGGAGTTTAGAATTAGAAAAAAAGGAAAACCTTAAAGGTGACTTGTGAAAGGAGGTGTTACTTAAATTGAACTTTAATGTGTAAAGTCTGTGTATGTTAAGTGGGACGGAAAAGCATTCCAGGCTGAGAATGGCTTAAGAAAAAGACACAGGGATGTGAAAGTGCCTGCCTGGGAAAAACCATGAAATTAAGAATAAGTAGAATATAAGGTTCATGGAAGTGGATTAACTAGAAAGGCAGGTTGGAGCAGGTTATCATGAGTCCATATTAATATATAGTTATATATGTGTGGTATATTATATAGTCATATAACTATTAGTATAAAAGATTATTCAATCCCAAACATAGGCTGCTATTTTGGAAAATCTGTAAAAAACAAAAAGACCCATGCTCTGTCTCCAGGATGACTAGCTATTCCAGTTTGCCCAGGACCTAAGAATTTCTTGGAATGTGACATTTTCGGTTTTAAAACTTGGAAACTCACAGAAATCTTAGGATGAGTTGGGCAGTGTTTATCACAAGAATAATTCAAAGAAAACTGAGCACAATATTTCCATATTATCTTTTAAAGTGCCAGTTAAATCCATTTTACTGAATTCTGTGAAAAGCTTCATGCAATATCTTTATCTAAATATTTCCCTCAGGTTTTTGGTACATGAGCTCATGTTCATCTCCATATCCACTTAAATAGACTATAGGTAACACACTGGACCTATGTAAGTAGAAGTTATAGAATGCTCAAAATATTAACATCTTTCTAAGTGGACCAGTTACTATCTTGATCCTCTAAAAAGATTGAGTCCAATAATCCCCTATAATCCTGTCTTTTTAAGGCGAAATATAAAACTATATTTAACGCTTCATATTTTAAGCCAAAAATATGCCAAAGTAGATATCTCGTTTCGTGTTAACAAATATTACAAAGTAATACATTTATGTTTTGTAGTCTTCTCAAGTATTATACAACAGCAATGCGAAAATGTTCTGTATGACTACTGAGCACTTAAAATGTGGCTCCTATGACTATAGTACTGAATTCTTAATTTTCATTAATATACATTAGCATTTATTTTTTACTAATTTTATTGGTACATTTTAGGTGTACCATGACATTCATCATTGGAGATTTTGATAATATATTTTGATTCTTATTTTTCCCCATTCCCTTTCTCTTCTCTTTTATTAAAGACTTTCCTATTGATATTGGTCATATCTATCTTTTTAACACTCTATAATACTTTTTTTTTTTGTATCGGGGATTGAACTCGGGTCCTTGAGCTTGCAAGGCAGACCACCGAACCACTGAGCTAAATCTCCGGCCCCTCTATAATACTTTTTAAGAGCATCACCATCGTACAGAAACATCAAACTTTCTACACCACTATTTGATATGATCATATATGATGAAAACTTGATGCAACTTCTAGATTATCATGATATAATTATTTAAAGCCACCATTCAATATAAGAATTTTTTGTAGCATAAGACATTGCTATATGCTTTAAACACATAATATCACTTCTAATTCATGCCCAAAACAAATAAACACAGTGCCTTACATTAAGGATAATAAGCTATCCTCAGGTCTTCTGTTTTATTTACTTGGTTATTCCCTTGAATGAGTATGGTAAAGCGAAGCAACTTTTTCTTAAATTATTACAGTAAGATTAAGAAAATTTTGTAGCAGCCCACCAGCACGTGCACACCTGGCTCCCACAACCCCTGCCTATCCCAGTCCCTCAGCACAGAATGGCACCCTCCCAGGTCCTCACATTTGGGTGCCTGCTCCTGGTGGCAGTGGTAGCGGTGAGCAGAGCCCAGTAAGCATGTGACTGTGAAAACTACAAGTTGGCCATGAATTGCTCTGTGAACAGAAATGGTCAGTGCCAGTGTACCTCCAGGGTACACAGAATACTGTCATTTGTTCAACACTGGCTTTGCAGTGTTTAGTGATGAAGGCAGAAATGACTCACTCAAAGTCTGGGAGAAGACTAAAACCTAAAGGAGTGATCCGGGACAATGACAGCTGTATGACCCCAACTGTGATGAAAATGGGCTCTTTAAAGCAAAGCAGTGCTGCTTTGTGTGCTGCTATGTGAGCAACGCCAGCATCCAAAGGACCTCTAAGGACACTGAGATACAGTGCCTGGAGTTGATAGGACCTACTGGTTCATCATTGACTAAAACAAAGACAACAGTCATACAGTCTTGAAAGTTTACAGGCTGTACTTCAGCCTGAATCCAAAACTTATCCTAAGCATTTTGTATGAAAACAGTGTTATCACTATTGATCTGATGCAAAATTCTCAGTAGACTCAATGATATGGATGTAGGTAATGTGGCTTACTATTTTGAAAAAGATATTAAAGGCAAATCCTTGTTCCATTCTGAGAAAATAGATCTGAGAGTAAATGGGATGTGGATCCTGGTCAAACTTGAATTTACTACATTGATGAAAAAGCACCTGAATTTTAATGCAGAGCCTCAGAGCTGGTGTTATTTCTGTCATTGTGATGTGACAGTAGCAATTGTTGCTGGAATTGTGCTGGTTATTTCCAGAAAAAAGAAAACAGCAGAGTATATGAGAAGTCAGAAAAAGCAGATGGTTGAAATGCATAAAGAACTCAATGCATAACTGCTGTAATTTACAAATTAATCACAAGAAGAGAAATTAGGAGAAGAATGACAAATGCATGAACATGGGAGAAGAACATCTTTGAGTATTGCTGTCTTGTTAGTTAAGATCATGTATTTGGAATAGAGAAACCTGTACTCAAAATATAAGCAGTTTAAAAGTATCATTACCAATCTTAAAGTCTTACATATGCAGATCTAAGATTAAAACCCAGAACTTGGATTGCATAGTTAAAATATATGTGTAATATTGAAGAATATGTTCAATATGCTTCCACTGTAATCTGAAGGACAACTGTCTTGTTTGTGATTGAAAGTTGCTTTTCTATTTAGAGTCTTGTACATAAACTTTTTATGAAATAAAATATTTTTAAACTGAAAAAATTTTTAAGAGTAAGAAAGTTATTTGAACCTTTTTTCTTTTAAAATGGTGAAAAGCATTACTGTTAACCAGGTTTTATAGCATAATACCTAATGTAGCATGAAAACCGCTAGTGTTCTACATGATTGTGAGAACTTGAATTTGAAATTTCTGATTCAGACCTTTCTATGTTATTTGTTAAGTTTCCATTAGACACTTAAGTGTGAGGTTTACTCAGTTCCTAACTTTGATTTTTTTTTAAGCATACAACATAGATTGGAAGAAACAAAGCTGGACAAGGGCCAATCAAAACTATAAAAAAAACTATGTGGATTAAACTTTAGTAAAGATTTCTCTTCTCTGTTCATTGTCTTAGCGACTGAAACAACCTCAGAAATATAATCCTTCTGGAAAATTGAAAGAAACATCCAATTTTCTTAGAATAAGAATTATTGGCTCCAGTTTTCCAAACTGTATCCAGGAAACAAATAAAATTGTAGGTCAATATTTAAAATACCAATTACTGTATTTCTCCCTCAGATCAAAACAAACACCAACATACAAAAAGAGCAGTCCTGTATTGCATTATATCCAACACTTGGCCTAATGCCTGGCACAAGGATCTTTAACACTCAGTTTTTAAAATAGTCAAATAAATACTTTGAAAATGTGATTTAAATGAATGGCTGAGAGGAAACAATAGAATTATGTGGCATGTTATTTGTATGAAGCTACTCTGCTTCCTTTGTCCCTGCTTGCCCTTCATGACCTATTTAAATCCTGACTACTCATTGCGGTATTTTCACAGGGGCAAGTATCATTGTACATTTAACTGACTCATCATGATCCATCAGGATTCCAGCTTCTACAACTGTTTCAGCTGCCAGTCTTCTCTTTGGTGACAGTAGGCTTAGATGTCCCTTCCAGAGTAACCACGGTGTCCTTTAAAATCACAGATTACTATACTCAACAGAATTGTCCTTGTTACAGAAGAAATCAGTAAGTGACACAGAGAGGCAGCAGAATGGAAGTAAAATAACAAATTTACTTATCAATAAGGGTCGATCACACATAAGCCGTGCCTGGATGGACGTCGGATGGGGTTACAACTCTTCCTTTTATAGGGTTTTACAGCCTTTACTTCATTTGGGTGGTTACATTTTATTTTTATAGTTTAAATCACGGTCACAGAATAGTTAATCTTTTTAACCCAGATGTAACAGTTTTTTGCAGTTGGGGAGTTTACCTTTAAGATTTGCCTAGTTATCTAGTCCACAGGAAGTGGGGTGTTCAGGGACAGGAGAGCAAATGCTAACAATGGGTCCTTTCATCTAGACACTTTTACGATCATGTGGCTCCAGTTTCTTCAGAGCTCAAGACCTTGATGTGCCCTGTTATCTCAGGGTCAGAACAAATGTCTCATTCAGCAAATAGTGCCTTCGCCCTATTAGTTCTGAGCTAAACAAAACAAACTGCTGTTAGAGATCCCAGAAGCCACTTTACATTGTAACACTTTATAGGTTTTTGTTATTTATAAAAGTTTTCCCTATTATCCTCACTGTGACATTTTAAATATTTTGAAAGAGTAGAGGACTATTTTCATCACCAAAAAGCTCATACAAAAATGCTTACTTCAGGCTGGGCATGGTGGTGCATTTCTGTTATCCCAGCACTGTGGGAAGCTGAGGCAGGAGGATCACCAATTTGAGCCCAGTCTGGCCAACTTAGCAAGACCCTGTCTCAAAAAAAAAAATTTTTTTTTAAAGAGCTGGAAGTGTAGTTCAGTGCAAAGACCTTGGGTTCAATCTCCACTCAAAAAAAAATATATATCTATCTATCTATCTATATCTATCTATCTATCTATCTATCTATCTATATATATATATATATATATATACACACACACATACACACACACACACATGCTGGCTTCATGATTTGGACACATACTATATGTACCATATCATCATCCTTAGGTATGTCTTGCTTTGCCATGTCACATACAGGTTTTCTTGACAACAGCATATTTTAAGTAAAATAGACATTAATGGTGCTGGGATGGGAAAGGAAATAAAAGTAACATATATTGAACAGATACATCATGTACCAGATACTGTACAAATACATATTCTCCCAAATCCTCACAACAGTGTGAGGTAGGTAATTTCCCCATTTTCTGATAATTAGCTTGCATTTCATAGCAGGCCCGAGTTTTTCTATTAACATGAATTTTTATTTACTTTTAACTTCCCTATTGCAGAAACTTTGGCATTTGTATATCAGAAAGGCCAACTTACACTCAAATATTTAATGTAGTGTCTCATGGTACATCAGTGGATGATTGGAAATTACAAGCTACCATCCTGTATCAGATTTCACTCTTGTCTTGCTCTTCTCAATGAACATCTTAGGTAAGACTTATCACTTGGTTTCCACATTTAAGACACACACAAAGCATTTTCATCACTGATTGAATGTTTATTCTCAAGAATTAATCCCCTTAGTCTTACTTTTTTCATTATGTTTATTGGTACTTTTTAGGTATACAGTATAGTTAATTCATCATTGGGATAATCTCCTTAGTCTTAACAAGGACCAGGAAGCAAAGTTGATGAGTAGTACATATTGAATGTTACTAAGCATGAAATGATTCCTCCAGCTTCTAGTTAAAAGTAGAGGGTATTAACCAGGCAAGGGAACATGCGTGTTCCACAGTCCTGGGATGCTGAGGCAGGAGAGTCACAAGTTTGATCCTGTTCTAGGCAACTTATGAGACCATGTCTCCAAATAAAAAGGGCTGCGGATGTAGCCCAATGCAAAAGCCCTGAGTTCAATTCCAAGTTCCACAAATAAAATAAAAGTAGTATCAAACAAGGTTCACCTGTCTCAGAATTTTATAAAAAGGGACTATCTTATCTATGCCCAATAGAAAACTCAGTTTTTATAGTTCTGCAGTTCTACACAAAGGGATCAGGACTGAATAACTTTATGTTCCCTCAACATAACCAGATTTCCCCTTAAAGGAGATCTTGTTCTATACCTATACTCATGAGCAAATAGGACCTTGAATTTCTTCCTCATCAATTCCTTTGAGTTTGTATTCTTCATTTCATTCTAGTGCATTTGAACCTCATAATATGTCTAGTTAAAAGAGATTTTTTCAGCAGTAAACTAAACGGGTGGGAGGGAAGAGCCTACCCCACAACACTGCAGATTTTCAAGACCACCTTTGTAATGACATCCACATCACCTCTGTCCAGGTTCTTCAGAATGGACGGTGCTCCGAGCCTGACAGTATTCTCAGCTGGTGAGGAAAGTGTAGCACCCCACCCAGCATCATTTCAGATTTCTAGGGAAATGTGCAGGGGAAGATCCATTGTTCCCCCTTTGTGTCCCACCAGAAAGTCCATTTTCTTTTCTTGGAGAAACTGATCTCATAATTGATCACCGTAAATGTGTCCCAGCTGACAGTCTTCAAAGGACGCTATAGCAGTAGGACAGGCTGTCTACGCTGAGGCCAGCCACAGCCGCATACAGCTCGGGCACCACCAGCTCTGGCACTTGTAACACAGCCTTGTCGTCTGAGGTTCTGGCAGCAGCTTCTAGGTGTGAGCGCAACTCTCCGAGTAAGGGCCGGGAGTCCTCGCTCCAGTGCCAACAGGATTTCATGATGTTATACCTGTGGAGGGGACAAGGAAAACAGGCAGATGTGTGGGGAATGTGTCTTCTCTGCCAACAAACCTTAACTGGAACAAAACCCTGCAAGTTTTAAATCTTCTGTGTGCCCTCTCATATTCTTCCCAGAGACTCATCCTCTTTATATGATAAAGTCTCTTAAAATTTTTAGTGTGACCTCTGTTCTACTAGAATGAAGAGATCCTTCAAACTACAGAGAAGATGACAAGATTTGTTTTCACTGTATATCATTCATTGCACTGCCCTGAAGTAGCTTTTTCACTTTGTGATAGAGCTCTTATTCGTTCTTCTGTATGCTGATTTTCAGGTTGTTTTAGATATCTCCTTATCAAAATCTTAAATTCTTCAAGTCAGATATTTGTCACTCAGGTGCTACCCCCCCCAGTATGGACAAACTCATAGACATAGCCTGCAAGAACTACTTGTCAAAGTTTAATTATGTTACACCCAGCCAACATTGCTATACTGTGTGTGCATATGCATGCATAGCTAAGATAGCCAAGCTTCATAATCTGCTTGTTACAGTAGTTATAGGGTAGGGAAAAACAAGATTGAGAGATTTACCCCTTCAGTGCTGAAAAATTTATAAAATATTTGGATAGAAATACTCATTAACATATTCTCTGCCTCCTTATGCATAACTTTAATCTTTTGTTTCGTTCTATAAGGATTTTATTTATTTCATTCTATAAGTTTTTTATTTCATCAATGACAAAATTCTATGTGTAATTTTTAATTTTTTCATTTTGTTTATAAATTGGTTAACCAACAAGTATCCCATTCTTCTAGCCAATATAAGATCTCCCTTTCCTGGCCTTTCTACTTTCTTTCTACCCGCTTTCTTCTGGTTGGCCTCTGTCATGCTGAGAGCTGGGAAAACAGACTGAGTCATTTCTAAAAGTCAGATAATAAATAAGAGGCATATACACTGAATAAGTAGGTCTAGTGTGATGGACTTTAGGGAAGTCCATCTGAACTGAAGGTGGCAGAGTCTGGCATTTAAACAAAGTAATATACTTGGCTGTATTTGTTGTTTCCTGCCTATTATAGAAGTTTCTGTGGAACTAAACTTTAGCAAAGTTAGATTCGTAATGTACTTCTCAGTGGTTGCCTCGACATTGTGTGAGAACGTGTGTAACTATATACAGATATGTGATATGTATATATATGATACATGAACAATATGCTTAACCTCATGGGTTTGGTCTAAGGCTGTGAATTAGGAAATAAGGACAACTAAGGATCATCTGAGACATTTTGAAAAGCACATAACTGATAGGATACAAAAATATATTTGGAGCCAGGCGTGGTGGCACACGCCTGTAATCCCAGCAATCGGGAGGCTAAGGCAGGAGGATCGCTGTGAGTTCGAGACCAGCCTGGGCTACGTAGTGAGTTGCAGGTCAATCTCAATTACATAGTGAGACCCTGTCTCAAAAAACAAAACAAAACAAAACAAACAAACAAAATATATATATATATATTTGGAATCAGAGAAACCTAGACCCTTAAAAGCCACTTACATGGTGTGTGTGCAGGTACTGGGTCTCGTCATGATTTTCCCTCTCTGAAGATACTGCAGAATGCTGGTAGGAGGGACTTCAGGATATGGTGGTGCCCCTGTCGATATGGAAAGAAAGAGGGGAAGAGAACTTCAGGGCCCCCGAAAATATGAGCTGTAAACAATACTTCTCTCCATCAACTTGGGCCAATCATCTGCAAAAGACACAGCAATAGGAAGAATACTAGATACAACATAGTTACTCTTCATCGGTGGATCCAGTAAGGATAAAGTTTGGTGAGCCTAGAGAAAGCTTCTAACTGATGTCAGAAGAATTTGTGAGTCCATAGGAAATAATAAAATAAGACAAATGAAGGAAATTTACCTTCTACTCTTCATAACTTGAAAAGGTACTGCAGTTTCTTAATTGAATGGATTAATCTAAAGACAACATTTTATGATGCAGAAAAACCACTCTGGGAATTACACCTTAGATTGAGAAACACCCCCCTGAAGGTGATAATGTTTGAGGAAAAAGAGGAAGACAGCAAAAGAAAGTTAAGAGAAGGACAAGGACAAGGGAGGGAAGGAGCCAAGGTAGAGAGGGAATCGTCACTGTACAAGACTTCAGGAACCAGGTGTGAAATTCACGTCAACCCAATTCAATCTTTGAACCTGTTCTGAAATACTTTCTCAAAGAAAACATTGTACACACACACATACAATGTACATATGTGCATTATAGCCACGCACTATTTTGGGAATCAGCCTTACCTAGAGTCACCATCTCATAGAGTAGGATCCCAAATGACCAGCTGTAAAAGAAACAAAGCCATCTATTTAATATCTGTTTCACCTTTCCTAAAGAGAGGTCAATGATCAGAAGCCATCAGGAAGAGCCACAAAAAAAAAGGAAGAAAAAGAATCAAAGGCATATAATAAAATATTTGAAAGTATTTCTTTACAATTCCTTTTAGATTCTACTGTCTTTGAAGACCAGATCTATGTCTCTTTTTCCATATTTCACCTTAACAATGTTTAGTTATTTGCTAATGTGTGAACACAAACACACAAGCCATTCAACCCAGAGAAATTTCCCTTTACATCTATTATTCTCTCCCATCCCTCTACACTAAAATGTCAGCCTTTCTTCTCAACACAAGGCCAAGCCACTATTTTCTCATTAGATCTAATGCTCAAATCTAAGAAAAATACTAACATACCAAGCTTTACATAGAGTTGTAATCAGTATTTGCCTAAGCAACATGACTTAAGATATATATAGATATATATAGATATATAGATATAGATATTTTGCTATCTGATAATATTATTAAATAAGTAATGTTTTACAATTAACTTTACTGCCTACAGATTTCTACTGGAAAGTAGCTGTAAGTGAGGTAGAAGTTTCTGAACTGACTTGCCAGATTAACATTTAAGTTTCCCCTGCCACTCGTGGCTACTAGAAAATTGTATGTCCAGCTGTTTCTTTAAGAAGTAGAGTTATGTGGTTACTAGAAGTCAACCGTGACCCTTTACAGCTGTTTATGCCAGTTGTACACATGCCTGTAATTGTGTCATCATGTAATCAGATATTACAGAAGTTGGTTCAACATAAACTTACCTTCCTGAAAAATAAGTTGAATGCTTTGAAAACAGTCGACAACAATATGCCATGAAACTGTAAAATTGTGCAGCTAAGATAACTATAGAAACTAGGAAATCAAAGTCAGCAATCAAATTGTTTCACTAAGCCCAGAACCATCCAAACTGGAGCTGAAAAGTCGGTCATCACGGAAACCATTTAGATAAGAAACACCACATATGACCTCGTGCAGGAGCCACAGCCTCACATCTTGCAGCTGTGCTATGGACCAAGTGATAGGGGAAGAGGGGAGGCAGGGAAGGAAAGAGAAAGTAAAGAATTATGATTACCTACCAGCTCCCATGATGTACGTAGTCATTATGTGCTGCAAACATACTGATAAAAATAAATTTTAATACAGCTTTGCTTTTTAAGATTATAAATATATATGCTTATGCTTTAACTTAAATTGAGGTATGTATATTCTGTTTGTTTTAGTAATTCCTGCTTAATTGGCCTTAACTGGACTCGTACAGCAACAGGAAGAATACTAGATACAACATAGTTACTCTTCATCGATGGATCAAGTAAGGATAAAGCTTGGTGAACTTAGAGAAACCCTCTAACTGATGTTAGAAGAATTTGAGGACAACTAGATTAAGTCCTCAGAATATTGCTGTGAATAATATTTTCAATTTCCTTTATTTCCAGTGAAGACTGATAATTTTTTTTTTTGAGGCAGGGTCTTGCTATGTAGCCCAGGCTGTCCTCATCCCTCACAGCAGTCCTCCTGCCTCAACCTCCCAAGTGGGGGCATTACAGGCATGCGCCACCACTCCCGGCCTAGACTGCTCACTGAATACAGAAGGAAAAGGCACTATAAGAAGACGGTCAAACATGAACTCTGTCACATATCATTCCTGTTCAAGAGTAAGCCTGACTCCCATGGAGCAAGAGATCTCATGTACAGACATAATTGTCAGTACACACAAAATCATATTCAGAGGGGACACCCGAGTCACAAAAGGGAAAAAATCTAGAGGGCAGGAACAAACCATACATGTCTCCCCTGATGCCCGCAGGTCTCAGGAGAAGCCGCTCTGGAGCAAGCCACTTGAGAGGTACGGCTCGAGCAGTGGAGATGGCCCCTAGCGCGTGGACTTCATAAGCCAAGCCCAGTCCACAGAGCTTAGCAGTCAGATCACTTTGGATCAAGATATTTCTGGCCGCCACATCCCCGTGGAACAGATGCTTATCCTGCAGGAATTCCTGTCGGCACAGAATCACAAGTAATCAGCTGCCTGAAGGCCAAAGCCCAGCTCACGGATAAGAGAGTCCTAGGAAACCTCAAAAAGATAAGGGAATTTTCTACTCTCAACAAGTCTAAAATGACCTTTCAAAGCATGTTAATGGATCAGACATTTTGCCTCATGTTTAGTGCTCACAAACTGAGCAAAATAATAATATTAACTTTGAATTTATTTACTTATTCTTGCAGTGCTAAGGATTGCATCTAGGGCCTCATGCATGATAGGCAAGCACTGTACCACTGAGCTACATTCCAGCCCTGATACTAGATTTTGACAGTATAACAACCCGCTCTGTGTCAGACTCTGGTGGCCACTTGATTTCTCTTTCTCCTCAGGTAGGTCCTAGTTAGATGTTGAAAAGAGAACAGATCCCATAACAAAACTGAATGTCATAATAGTAAATTTATTCAGCCAGACATAATGGCACACACCTGTAATCCCAGCACTCGGGAGGCTGAGGCATGTAGATTGCTGCAAGTTCAATGCCAGCCTGGGCTACACAGTGAGTTCAAAGACAGCCTGAACTACAAAGCAGC